CAGCTTGTAACATAGTGCCTCAAGCAACTAAGCTATTGCGTGTCCCCGCTATACATTTCAGTATAAACAAAATCCTGAATGAGATGCAGTTGCATTATATGTATTTTTCTCACCAAGGTAAAGCAAAGCTTTACCCTTTGCTTAAATAATAAACACTACGCCATGAAGACGCATGGGGGAGTGGCTGTATAGATCCACACATTCTTGACATCGGCAGTATTGGAGGCGAGTGGTCAGCTTAACGCCCCGGTCTCTACCGCCGCGAAAGAGCAGGCCGTGCCCATTAGATAGGAGGCTGGATGGACCCCAGAATCGGTCTGAACTTTCTGCCCTAGACGAGCGTTAATGCAGTCTTTACGGCGCTCTATACTGAAGAAGATACACCGAAGTCACTGAAATTCCTTGTGACCTTCTGACGTGTACGTCGCAGGCTAGGGGTCGCAAAACATTCCCCGATAATACGAGAAACTGACAGCGTAGATGCATCACTGAGGCCAGTTTCTATCTTCTGAAGCATTCTGCCACTCTGTGCCTTGTGGAACGTAGAGATCCGTGACGTCTGACCTTTCGGAAAGAGGTCACACCCCAACAAGATTCCTGTAGTCGGTACAGCAGTGGCGACTCCGGGAGTCATGGGTTCGCGGAAGGATCTGGTATGTATATTGTGACGTAAATTTATGGAGTGTGTAGACAGGTTTTGGAATGATGACTCGATTTATTGGACTCTTTCATACAGGGCGTGACTACATTTTACGCTTTACTATTATACGTGTACACATACACTAGTGTCCACAGTCACGTCGTCACTAGTCGTTGCTTGGTAGCGGATTTCAACGTCGGACGTTCCACTTCCTCTGAGTTCCCGAATTGTCCCTTGCCCCAGCTACAAGGATCTGACAGCAGCAACTCACAAGGACTGAACTTCAGTATTCGTCTAACTAACTAACTAACCAACTAACTAACATACTCACTCATTCACCAACCAAATGACTCCAATGAAGTTAAGGTCAAAGTTATGTTACGACCGACGGTTAGTCTGCCAGTCTTGGTATAAAGCACCCATCAGGCAGTTTCAGGTTTGTTACGTGGGGCACTCTCTCTGGCGAGAACACAGGTCTGTCGTTTGCCAGAATCACAGCCAGCAGTATGTATAATTTACATTTTACATGCTATTAAATGTATGCGTATACAACATATTGTGACGTATTTGCGCTGTACAGGACACCCCCTCCCCCGCCAGCGGTGACGTAACAACATCGGAGCGCTGCCGCTGCTACAGTAACAGGCCAGTAAGTACTCCGCCCCCTTCCGCGCTGACGTAACAGCACTTCCCACTATGACGTAACAGGGGACACCGCTGTTGAGACAGGCAACAAGGGACGGTATAAAAATCCGGCTGAGCAGTATGTGACCGGAGAGTGTGTGATCAGGAGTGACGGTGTGGATCGTGAAGTCAGTTGCAACCTAGCAGTCACCGAGTCGGGTTGTATCGAGTGCATGGCAGTGACTGCACCAGGAGAAGTAATTGTGATACTGACGATGGCAGTGCTTGTGTAATTGTGAGCTGTATAAGTGTAAGAGTGAATGTGGAATAAATTCGCTACTTTCAGTACGGCGTAAAGTTATTTGTCGCGTGACATACACCCAACACGTGACAGTATACAGGGCTTCTGTCAGTCCAGACTCAGTATAGCAGATCATGCCTATCATTAGTAGCTCCTGCTACCACAGCAGTCTAGTCACTTGAACGGTCGTTTGCTTGACCGCCGTCAAGTTTAATCCTCTTATATTTCGTGTGTTGGTGTTCGCCATGTCCAATGTTGCGAACATATGCATTTTCATGATTTTATATGACTTCTGCTTGTTGCCTGCATAATTTTGTTATATTATCATATATGTACGGAAGTTTGAAAGCCATGTGCAGTTCGAAAAAAGTTGTGCGCCTTGGAAACTTTCCAGTAGTGCGGAGAACTTTGTTTTTCAGGCGCTGCAATTGCGGTAGATGGTTCTCTGCTACAGACTCCCAGGCGGGGCAAGCATAAGTCATGATACTCATAATGAGTGTTTGTAGAGGGTCAATTTAATGTTAGTGCTTAATCGCTCACTTTTGAACAGGGAATATATTCTGATAAATGTTCTAAAGGCCTTTGTTTTGATCATTTCTATGTGTAATCTTCATGTAGCTTCCTTATTGAAGATTACACCGATGTATTTACACTACTTACAAAAGGAATGTTTCATCCATTCAGTGTAAGATGGGACCCAGGCGGTCGACGACTCTCCACCAAACTCGTAACTGATCCGCTTATATCTCGGCACGGACCGCACCGATGTGCACCTTGGAAAATTTCCAGTGGTGCAGAGAACCTTGTTTTGTAGGCTCTGCAATTTTAAGAGTTATGTGTGTGCCGCTAATTCCCAGGCGAGACAAACGTGAGTCATACTGATCTAAACCGTGCTTTATGGAACTGATTGGCTTATGACTAGCTTCGGCACGGGCCCAACAGAAAACACCGTTCCCGTGTTGGTGTGGGTGACGTGGTATCACGTGTTCTATTGTAACAGCTCTGCCCGCCTGGCGTCGCACCCCGTGGCAATACTGCATCCAGCAGCTCTCCTATTGTTGTGTGACGTCACCGTTGTCGCGGAGACGATTTGTTTATTTAGCCGCTCCCTAGCAACGGCTGTCTCCTTCGCTAAGTTCTTTCACCTTTCAATCGTCATGTCATAAAATATATAGCAGTTTCTTTGTCTACAAATAAAGTTTAATATTTATCAGTACGATCCGATGTAAGATATAACACTGCGCATGCCCGGCGACAGCTGCACGAGTGCCTAATCGAATCAGTTTTCTTTTACAAGTGAAACATTATGCCCTTTATAGTCGCTAGGTTTCGCCTTCCTCTGGGGCAACCCTGCTAGAGAAATATCAATCTACCGCTACCAGAGCTAACCCATATCAAACCAGTTAATTGGCACCTTGCTGTGTCCCCCCCCTCCCCAAATAGTCCGGTTGGGCTGTGGGCCTTACTCATTAGGGAAGGAAGATGGCTGATTTTGTTCATTACTGGGTGTTCGACTTCAGTGTCCATTAGCACGTCGGAGAAACCCCCAAAATATAAAAGCTGGACTTCAGTTAACGATCTGGGTTTTTGTATTGATAATTTCTCCGCACTGAATATAGCTGTCGTGGAGTAACGACAATGTTGTTCTGCAGTAGGCCAAAGTTGTTAACATCTGTTTGTTTTATTGTAGATGTAAAGGTAGCGTGGCCATAACTCGGTGTCAGGAGACTCGTTTATAAAAATGGAGTGCGTTACAGGAAGACATTAAAGTAAGAAAGCATTTGTGCTGCCTATCCTGGCCGTAACGTTTGGAGCTGCGATAGTCCAGTGGGTATAGCCTACGGTTTGGACGACCGAAGAATTGTGGATCGATTCGTGACAGGGGAAGGTTCTCTTCTCCACAATGTCCAGACCGGTCCTGGAACCCTCTAACCCCTCTGCGCGGTAGACACTGGAGGCTCTGTCGCCAGGGGTAAGGCAGCCGAAGCGCGAAGCCGTCAAATCACCTGCAACCAGTGACGAGTTTCAGAACGGGTGGAGTTATACTTCCACTTCCCCACAGGTCATTGCTCGGTGTTTAATTCGCCACAGGGACAACTTGGTATGCACCTTAAACGTCATGACAGAATAAACACCGTAAGTGGCCAGAAGCAGAGAAAGAGAAGTGGAGGGTAAAGAAGAGGATGATGAATGTGAGTGTAGTGAGATGCCAGACTACGATACCTGTTACATGAAGCACCGAGCTACTGAAGTCAGTAGCTTGTTACATAACGCACTGCATCACTTAAAGCAGTAGCCTGTCACATGACACACGAAGCCACTTAAGGCAGTAGTCTGTTACATGACGCACTGCACCACACAAGGCAGTAGCTTGTTACATAACGCACTGCATCACTTAAAGCAGTAACCTGTTACATGACACACGAAGCCACTTAAGGCAGTAGTCTGTTACATGACGCACTGCGCCACATAAGGCAGTAGCTTGTTACATGACACACGAAGCCACTTAAGGCAGTAGTCTGTTACATGACGCACTGCGCCACATAAGGCAGTAGCTTGTTACATGACACACGAAGCCACTTAAGGCAGTAGCCTGTTACACGACGCACCGAGCCACTTAAGTCAGCGGCTTGTTACTTAACGCACTGCGCCACTTAAGACAGTAGCCTGTTACATGATCCACTGACCCACTTCGGGCACTGGCTGCTCCTTTGGGCAGTCGTTAATACTCTGTATGGGAACTGGAGTTGAGAGCTTTCGCTGAATTCACAAGAATAACGCCAACGAGTGATTTGCATCCAGATCGAAGATTAGACACGAAGTATCCACTGAAATATTCTCTCGTTAGGCCCAGTGCGACACTAACGTGAACCTACATGAAATGCCGTTTGCTTGCGAATTTGCGGACACGTTAAGTAGGAACTATACTGCAGAAAGGCAACGACTGTTCGTCTCTGTGTGTGCAGTTCGAAACGAAGTGTAATTTACACGTATGTTATATCTGAGGTGCTCATGAAGACTGTGGGGAGCTTGAGCTTCTGGGATATGACGCCGAGCATTGTGGCAGAAACTTACCAACGTTTCAATGGAAAGTACTGCCTTCTTCTTCAGGGTACAAGAGCAAGCTGTCAGCAAGGACGGAGTATTACTGACACTTCTCTGCCAGAGGATGGTGGCAGTACACTCTTCCGGCACGTCAGCGAACTTCTACCAGATTACGTCCCTTCGCTGAGAATAACGCAGGGAGGTCCTGGCCTCCTTTAGCTACACCGCGCCCTTCCACGCTCGGCTTGCTCTTCTGCCATGAGAATGGAGGCAGCAGATTTTCCAGAAACATTAGTAACGATCCAGCAGACCACACGGCGTCACGTACTCTTCAGATATGCTGATCAAGTGTGATGCTTTGTTTCAGGCAATGATTGCCGCAGACTCCGTGGCTGTGCTGGAGGGGGCGGTGGGGGCGGGGGTGGTGATGTGCAGGTCGTGAAGCCGGGCGAACCATGGACTGGGCCGTCGAGTAGCGGCACAGCGGCCTAGCTCTGGGGCGCAGCCACCCAGCATGATGTCCACCAGAGAATGAAGAAGCAAAACGTCCGGACCTTGTCCTTAATAGTCTGTACGTTCACATATCTTCTTGTGGGAGCAGCAGTCTTCGACGCTCTCGAGTCTGAAACTGAGAAACGACGCTGGGATGTTCTAGACGGTGAGCACAGCTCATGCTTGTGGTTGCTCATGGCACTGCTGCGTGCGGGACAAACTCGGGAAGGATGGTAATCTTTGCTGCTTGCAAACAGCCTGACATCCATCCAACAAGTAGTTAAGCCTAAGCGCAGCCTTGCGTACAGCTCTCACAAGCAGGGCGTTTCATGCATGTAGTGCACGCCATATTTATGGGGCATGTGAGGGTGGGGAGCTTCGAAACAGTAGACACACCCAGTATTAGGATGACGCTTTTTCACATGGAAGATTCTCACAAGCGTTTGCCCTTAATGCTCTGAATTTTGACCACAATATTCTGACTGTATTTTATGGTAAGACACTTCGACATACGTGTAGCCTGTTCGTTTGCCCAGTAGCAGTGCTGCCTCGTCCACCATTTGTAGACACATTATGTGTATGTACAGGTGTCCCGGGAAGAAAGGTCAAATTGTGGGAGGTCATAGTACCGATCATTCTAAGCAAGAAAGTGTATAGGTACATGTGTCCTATTCCGAACGGTTTCCGAGATAGAGCTATGTCACTGTACAGATCCAAAATTGTTTATAGGAAGGATATATTACGTACTGTTTCTAATGCCGGTATTTATTGTTCAAGTGACACAATTGGCACAGTTTACCTAGTATAATACGTTTTCTAAAATTTTACCGTCAACATCAATGCACTTTGCATCTCGTGTGAGGACATGGCGTGTTGCTCCTTTGTACAATGTACAGTGTACTGTACAATGGAATAGCTCTATCTCGGAAACCGCTCGGAACAGGGCACATTTACATCTACAGTTCTGCTTAGAATGACCGATACTATGACCTCCCATAATAGTGACCTTTCCTCCTATGCCACACTGTATACATGAGTCTTGTAAGTTCTCCAAGTGACGTCATGTGATGACGTCTCGTTGCCTGTATGGAACTACAAAGAATTGTAACGATACAACAAAAAAGTAAATTAGTCTCTTTTGTTAATTAAGCACCACGCCGTGGAGACGTATGGGGGAATGGAGGCATAACTTCACTGCTTCTTAACTTTGGTACGCAAAGGAGATATACACAGTGTGTCCAGGTTCTGTTAAGACTGTGTTCATTAAAAATACAAGACGTGAATTATTTTCAAAATTTCACTCTTTTTATTAAAAATAGTCTCCTTCTGAATCAGTACATGGCTGGAATCGATTGAAAAGTTTACGAAAACAGTCACTGTACTCCTTTTGTGGAATCGCATTTAAAACTGCGGTAGATTCCCTTTGGATGCCCTGGATGGTGTCGTGACGGTCTCCTTTCATCGCTAACGTATGTTCTGGGAACAACCAGAAATCTGATGGAGCCAAATCTGGCGAATACGGAGGATGATCAAGGACTGTGACCCCTTTTCTGGTCAAAACATCGCGCACTATCTTCGACTTGTGGGGTGGGACATTGTCGTGGAGGACCGACCAGGAACTTTGCTCTCGATATTCAGGTCGATTTCGAAGAATTCTCTCCCACAAACGATTGAGGACTCCGAGATAATAATCAGAATTCACTGTCTGACCTTGTTACACCTCAGGGGGAGGGGGTGAGAACTTATAATTACTTTCGTCGATGATTACTCGTTTGTTGCACTCGGCTGCCGTCGGCTGTCTTGGCTAGGGAAGCTCGGGCTGGGTTGAGGACAGGATGGTTACTAATGGGCGAATCAGAACTCCCTGCGTACATTCTCCACTATGTACACTTGTCTATTTACAATCATAAATACATTACGAAAAAGGCCTGCTCTTATCGGTTTACATGCATATCTCGCTAAACTCATTCTACCGTCCTAGTTGTGAAGGGGAGGTGCCCTGAACTGCACTCCTATCATCGTCTGCTACTGTACATTCTTCCCACCCTGTTCTACCCTGACTCTCACTTGGTTCACTGGATACTGCCTCATTATCTCACAATAACACTTGTATTAACACAACCTTTAACAGCATGGCGTATATGAGCAAAGAGACTTACTTGCCATACAAATGTAGATTACAGCCGTTGTCCACCCTCTTATGGAATACATGTCGCCGAGAGCCTCCTCTGACAACTGAATATTCTGTTAGAACCTCCCAAGTCCCCCGAAATTCCCTAATTTATGGTTTTATTTCGCTGATTCAGCCTTGACGAAAGAGGGTGGGTGACTCCCCCCTCAGTGTCCTCCATCCTCATAATAACCTCCTCATTGGCTCTCATGGGTGGTTGGGGGCGGACCCCCTTGCGTCTCCTTGCTGTGTTAGCAGTCTATCACGAGTACCCTGTGCCTGAGTGAGGCAAGTGTCTTGCCTTGTGAATACACAGAGACTTGCTGAGTCTTCACATTCTTAACCTACTTGCCAGTCCCGGTGTTTACAATTTACGGCAATAACTGCGAAACTCTTTTCGCAAGTCTCTGGCTTTTGGGTAATACCATCCTCTTTCTAATCTCAAATTTGGGGCATCACAGACCTTCTGGCAGAAATTCCTTGTGAATGATTCCTTTGGAATCGAAGGAAACGGTTAGCAGTGTCTTTACTCGACTCTTTTGCATGCGCGCTTTCTTTGGTTTCGGCTTTTTTGGGCTCAACCACGCTGTACTCTGCCGCTTTGTGAGAGGCTCATATTGAAAACACCATGTCTCGTCACCAGCAACAATCGATTTTGTAAATTCTATATCACTTTGGGCCGACCGTAGCATGTCTTTGCAGTGTTCCACTCTGGCATGTTTTTCATCGCTTGACAACGCGTGCGGTACAAACCGCGCACAGACCTTCCGTTTGCTCAAATCCTCGGTCAAAATTTTATGCACAGTATTTTTTCGTATTCCAAAAAGCTCCTCGATGAGTCTTGCGGAAACATATCTGTCTGATGCAAGGATTTCGGTCACTTTTTTTCACATTTTCTTCAGTGCGACTTGTTCTCGGCTTTGATGCACGTGGAGCGTCTTCAGTGTCCTCCCTGCCGTCACGAAATACAGCTTACAATCGAAAAGTGTTCGAGCGACTCAATCACTACCGTACACACTTCTCATCATTTCATACGCTTCTCCTGCTGTTTTGCCTAACTTCAAACAAAATTTGATGTTGGGTCTCTGTTCACCCGCCATTTTCCGACGAGCGTCAGAACAGTACTGTTACATTGAAGGTCAGAACACATGATGCAGCAATGCTTGGGCTTTGAAATTATAGACAGCCACAGCTGAAACTTCAAGAATCTTAACGTCACAACTCGCCAACAGATGGCATTGCAGGGCAAAATTTAAAAGAATGAGTCCTAACGGATCCTGGACACACCGTGTATGTACGGTACAAAATCGAGAATGTTCTATAGGCTTTGAGGAATGAAACAGTAGCTAGGTGTGTATTTTAATTCTTCTTCGGTGTCTCACAAATATAACAGCTGAAGACACTGAATCACAGAACCGTATCCTGTTGGAGTGGATTGGAGTCAGAGAAACCGAAGTCGAATCCAAACCGTCTGTCTGCTTTAACTGTCTGATCCACGAGTTCAGAACGCACTGGACATCATTTGCCCAAAGGCGACATATATGGATCCTAGGTTTCGCACGGCAGAGAGTATGGAAAAATACTACGTGACGCCGTGTAGCCTGGTAGAAGCTTATCGCAATCTTGCAGGAACTTTTGGGTCGATCTGTAAGCCAAGCAGGCAACCATAAAGCAGCGAACAGAGCGGGTACTGGTTGTCCCTCAAAATGGTGGGTGAATTTTGCCCCGCAAATAGGTAAGGCTGTACCAGACCTGACGGTTCCTTATCCCGCATCACAGAAAGAGTGTTCTGCAAACGGAATACAACTGGTGACTAACGAATCTGACTTTCTGTTAAGCAGCGTTTTGGCAATTGCGTTTCCTGAGCACCAGGTGCAATGGTAAAGCCGCCACTATTGGGTCAGCTGGGGCAGGTAGCGGCGTCACCATTCGGTCTGCTGGCTTCAGGCGGCAATTTTCGCCACCGTCGGTCCCCGTCAGCTGGGATTGCAGCGTCGTCGTCTGTAACGCGAGGCCACGAAGGCCGCGCCATAGCTCAAGCGGTTAGTCGCTGGCTTCCCACCGCGGCGGCCCGGGTTCGATCCCGGGTCTTGTCAAGTGGGATTTGTGGTGGCAAAGTGGCACTGGGCGGGTTTTCTCCGAGTACTTCGGTTTCCCCTGCCAATCATCATTCCACCAAATTCTCCATCATAATCACCCGGGGCAGACTACACTAGCCCAATCAGTGGCCGCCGTGCCGAGTGGACCCAGTTGGACTCCACTCCCTACTAAGCAAATTTTAACGTGAGGCCACATATGAACCTCGCCTGTACGAAGAGTGTGAATCACGTTAGACTTTCGAAACACGAATTTCTCGTCAAAGGATATTTATATATTCAGTTCATGCCTTACAATAAACACACGACATCTCTGTTATGAAAACGGATCACTTCATGTCCTTCATTGAAACAATCGCTATTTATTATAAAAATCACATGGTGAAGGTAAAATTGTTCCTGTGCACAATTAATTAAGCACCATACCATGGAGACACTGGGGGGAGTGGAGGTAGAGCTCATCCATTCTTCACTTCTGCACTTGATGGAGGTGGTCAGCTTCACGCCCTGGCCGCTTTACCTCCAGGGAAATCGTACCCGTACCCATTGGATAGGAGACTGGGTGGGCCCCACAGCCGGTCTGGACTCTATGGAGAAGAGAAAAATCTTGCCATGCCCGGAATCGAACCCGGGCCGTTCAGCCCCTAGCCCAGTGATGGGCAAACTTTTTTAGGAGGGGGCCAAAGAAAAAAGAAAAAACTTTAGGCGGGCCAATATAATTTATTAAAAACAATAATGGTAGATTTTACAAAATTCTTGTAATACTAAGCCCTATTAATGATTGAAAGACTATGAAGGAGAATGTGATGAATGAAACTGTGACTGCATTTCCAAAATTTTCTCATAATCTGGTTCGAACTGGGATGCACTGATTCTCAGAAGTGAAGTTAAATGCTCATC